AACCCCCCAAACCCCCCAAAACCCCCCAAAACCCCCAAAACCCCCAAAACCCCCAAAACCCAAAACCCTAAACCCTAAACCCTAAACCCTAAACCCCCCCAAAACCCAAGCCCGTTCAACCGAAGCAGAGTTCGGTTCCTTGGAGCCCGGAAGGCCGCGTACCGGCGTGGAGAAGGGGTTCCTCTGAATGTAGACTTTAGGGTTTAGGGTTTAGGGTTTAGGGTTTAGGGTTTAGGGTTTAGGGTTTAGGGTTTAGGGTTTAGGGCGAGAAGGGGTTCCTCTGGATTTAGACTTTAGGGTTTTACGCGGGCTTATAGGGTCTTGTACGGGCTTGTAGGGTTTTGTGCAGGCGCGGAGGGTTTTACAGGGTCTGATGATGTTGTTTATCGGGTTCTATCGACCTTTCAGGTGTTCCATAGGGTTTTTGTGGGGTTTTGAGCTAAGGATCCAAAGGATTGAGGATTGAGGGTTTAGGGTTCGAGGGTACATGCATATCTTGGGGCACTTGCACGAGAAGGGCTGAGAGAGGTTTCAGGGGCTTCATTTGTTTTCAAGGGTATGTATGTACAATATCAAAACCCTAAACCCTAAACCGTTTGTGAGGCGTGCTAGGCTGCGCTTCACGAGGCTTCTACCAGGGGTGGGTTTCTTTAGGGAGACAGGCTTGGGGCTGCATCTTTTTTGCTGGAGGAGGGGTGGGGGTTTAGGGTTTCGACTGGCACTCTTCTGGTGCATCCGTAAGGTTTTTGCAGGGTTCCTGGAGAAGGGTGTAGGGTTTTCTTGAATTTGGGGCTCCTGTTTGGAGTTTCCCCGAGTTAATGGCTGAAAAAGAGATGATGGCTTCAAGAGCAACCATCGCCATGAAGCCCTATACCATGTCACTCAAGGTTGGATTGCTGAGGCACTCTGGGACTTGGGGATTAAGAAGGACATGTTCATTTCGGGGGTTTAAGACCCTGAAATACCTGCAGCAACCCCTAAAGAACCCATGAACAACCCCTTCTTGGAGGTTCGTGGGTAGTCATAAGTGGGGTTATAAGTAGCGTAACTATAGTTATAACCCATATTAGGGGACTTACAACCCTACTGATAACCACCCCTGAACCTCCAAGTTATGAACCCTATAACCGCTTACTGCGGAACCCTGCATCACCGAACCTCTGCTGCTTCGCGCCATGGCCACCACGGGGGCCACCACCAGTGCCGCCAACGCCTGGTCTGGGTTTAGGGTTTAGGGTTTAGGGCTTAGGGTTTAGGGTTTAGGGTTTGGGGTTTAGGGCTTAGGGTTTTGGGTTTAGGGTTTAGGGTCACAAAGAACACAAATCAACCACTACTTTCTAAACACCAAGCTCTCAGCCCGAATGTGGTAGCTTGACTGACGGCACCTCCTCAAGAGAAACAGCAGATATACATCACACCCAATACACATTGTACAATACTTGAAAGCATAATAATGAATACATATATATATATATATATATATTACGAATACATACACATATATATATATATATACGGTAAACCCCCATAGCAAACCCATGTCCCCCAGAAACCCCTGCAGCCTCAGCCGAAGTGTCTCTCTGGCTTTCTCTCGGCAAACAAAGCCCCAACCGACCCTTCAAAGCTTAGAACCCTCAGGCCGCATAAACCCTGACATTCCTTCAGAGTTTAGGGTTCAGGGTTTAGGGTTTAGGGTTAACCCTAAACCCTTAAAACCCAAGTGAGAAATCCCTAAAGAGCCCGCACCTCCCACCATGGCCACGTGGCCCGCAGTGAAGAGGATCTGGATCGGGGTGCTGTCCTGGTAGAGATAAGCGGTGGGTCTAGGGTTTAGGGTTTAGGGTTTAGGGTTTAGGGTCTAGGGTCTAGGGTTTAGGGTTTAGGGTTTAGGGTTTAGGGTTTAGCTTTTGCCGCTGATTTGGGGTCTAGTGCTTAGGATGCAAAGGGGGCCGAGGGTTCAGGCGCGGCCCCTCCAGGAGCAAGGGTCCTGGGCTCTGGGCTCAAAGCTTGCTGGACCAGCCCCCACACATGGGTGGTTGTCAAAATTATGGTCCCTTTTTGGGTCCTTATTATAATACGGCACCTATTATCTAGGGTACCCCAAAAGGGACCATAATTTTGACAACTACCCACATCCACGCACCCACACAACCCTAAACCCTAAACCCTGCACCCTAAACAACAAAAAAGCAGCAACATTGATCCCTGCCTGTGACCATTTTTTAGGACCCACAAGGACACCCTGACTCTAACCATCGCAATAGCAAAGGTCTCTTTCATACCACCGTCTTCATTTACGGGCCTCGGTGTTGTAGAGCTCGAGGGTGTCGGCATCCTTCCAGCTGTAGGGTTCGGGGTTTAGGGTTTAGGGTGAAGGCTGGCCGGTGCGTTTTGGTTTGGGGGTTCAGGGCTTGGGATCGTCCGAAACCCTAAACCCAAAGCCCTCCTTCTCTCACAGACCCAAGTTCCATCTCCCACTGCAGCGGCGAATCTCTGAGTAGGCCGTAACATACAAAAGGTGCCTTAATGATTCGAAGAGGGTTTGGGGGTATACTATACTCTATAGCTGTAATTAGTCAGGAACCCTGAGGAACAGTATTGGTAGTTATTGAAGCTTCCAGTGTGGCGGGAAAACGCCACTGGTGGTGGGCGGCTTGGGGAGTGCCGGACATGCGCGAGTATGCGCGGGTATGCGCGAGCATGCGCGAGTAGGCGCGGGTATCCCTAAACCCTAAACCCTAAACCCATCGAGAATACTCGAGCATACTCGAGCGTATGAGCGAGTACGCTGAGCGCAGTCGCCCGTCGCGTCCGCAATGGAAGCTTCTATATGGGTAGTTCTCGAACCTAGGGTCCCTTTTAGGGTCCCTTTTATAAGGATGCCCGTGATGCCAGGGACCGCAATTGAGAGAACCATCCATATTGCCATAAGCAACCTTAAGAAACCCTAAACCCTAAACCCTAAACCCTAAATCCTTAAGAAACCCCCCAAGCACGAAAAGCCAAAAAATACAGTCCTTGAGCTGCCTGTCGTTGTAGATGAGACGCATGTGCCTTGCTTTTCGGATTCGGGCTCTTCTGAGGGTCGTTCAGGGCTTAGGGTTTAAGGCTCACGCTTTAGGGCTTAGGGTTTAGGCTTTCTAGCTTAAAATGCAGTTTAGGCTTTCTGGTTTAGGGTTTAGGGTTTAGGCTTTCTGCTTTCTTGCTTAGATGCAGTTCAGGCTATAAGGGTTCAGGGTTTCGGGTTTAGGCCGGGCTTTGCCCTAAACCCTAAACGCTAAACCCTAAACCCTAAACCCTAAACCCTAAACCCTAAACCCTAAACCCTGGCTGCCAGGCTGAATGGGCCAAGGCTCCATTGCCAGGGTTTCGGGTTTGGGGCGAAGGGCTCCAGGGATGAGGGGTTTAGGGTTGAGGGTTTGGGGTTGAGGGTTTAGGGTTGGGGGTTTAGGGTTTAGGGTTTAGGGTTTAGGGTTTAGGGTCATCATCTGCAAAGTTTGGGACAACACGACCTTTAAGGGTTTAGGGTTTAGGGGTTCGGGGTCTAGGGGTTTAGGGATCTGCAAAGTTTGGGGAAAAACACTACCTTTAAGGGTTTAGGCTTCAGGCTAAACCCCCGAAGCCCTCTAAACCGCGTAAACCCTAGACCGACTAAATCCCCTTAAAACCCCTGGACTAAGGAGTGCCTTGGCAGCCCAACTCGGTTTAGGGTCTCTTTAGGGTTTAGGGTTTACGGGCTCTAGGATTTAGGGCGTAGGGTTTAGGTCTTAGGGCTTGGGGTTTAGGGTTTAGGGCTTGGGGTTTAGGGTTTAGGGTTTAGGGCTTAAGATTTAGGGCTTGGGGTTTACGGTTTAGGGCTTGGGGTTTAGGGTTTAGGTGTTCACAGGGTTCCCTCATGGCTTGCTTTAGAGGGTTCTATAAGGTTCCATTATACGGGCTGCGTAAGGGTTTATGGTTCATGTGGGTGGTTGTCAAAATTAGGGTCCCTTTTTGGGTCCTTATTATAATACGGCACCTATTATTTAGGGTACCCCAAAAGGGACCCTAATTTTGACAACCACCTATGTGTGGTTCTAGGGTTCTGTAAAGGTTGTTGAAGGTTTCTACCGTGGTGCTGTAAGGTTCTGTAAGGGCTGGAAGCTTTGCGGGCTTTACTTCAGGGCTTTTTGAGGATTTAGGATTTGCGATTTAGGCTTTAGGGCTTTACCTGAAGAACCCAAAACCTACTTTTTTGTAGGGTCCATATTAGGGTTTATAATAAGAACCTACAAAAAAGTGGGTTTTGGGTTCTTAAGGTAGGTGCCAAGGCTTTAGGGTTTCTAGGGCTTTCCCTGGCATTTTGAGCTTAGCTAGCCCTACATCCTAAACCATAGACTGAGTCATGTTGCTCAGGCTCGATGTTGCATGCCTCCGTGGCCATCTTCTTGACGTCGCCTCAGAAAGTCGTCTACATACTGTGTGGTCATTTCAGAGTCCAAAAAAACTGCTTGCGAATAAGCGCCTCTGTAGGGTTTAGGGTCAGGTAAACGCAAAGTCTCCCAAAGAGTCCCCAGTTTACTGCTCAGGGGCATCTGAACCTCTCGACCCCGATGTCACAACCCTTGCGAGTGCCATGAAGCTCCGCAGCCCTGCAAAATCTTGTCAGCACAAACTCCCCGCCCCCCTCCCCGGATCTCTCTAAGCCCTCAAATGGCAAGACTTGACAAGAATCACACAAGATTCCCAGAGGGAAATTGCTGCGCCCTCATGTCATGGAAACGGTCTGCGTGGGCGGACGGTATCATAGTTGACCCATGGGATGTTCTCGGGAACGGATGGGGCCGCAGTTGCATTGGCTGGGGCATGAGTTCGCTGGCAATCGGATCCACTCGTAAGTGAACTTTGTCATATCAACACAGATTCCCAGCGGCTGAACAAGTGGTTCGAAGGCGAGGCGATCAACTTTCCTGAAACCGCATCTTTTAGAGCCCCCTACGCGATCTCCAAACCCCCCCCCTTTAAAACCCCGAACTTTGCCCCAACTCCATAAACCCCTAAACCCGCTCTCAAACCCCCAAACGTAATATGGAAGTCTCTCATCCCACGACCCCCAGCGCGAAAGCCCCCATGTTCCCAGTTTTTATCGCAAACCGTCTAGTATCCGCTCGTTTTTTGGAGGGGGTTTAGGGTTTAGGGTTTGAGGTTCGGGTTTAGGGTTTGGCGTCAGGGCAAACAGTTCTAGCTCCATTCATAAAGAAGGCCCCTAAACCCTAAACCCTAAGAGCCTAAGACCCCAAAACCCTCAACCCTAAACCCTAAGACCCTAAACCCTAAATCCTAAACCCTAAGACCCTAAACCCCAAACCCTCAACCCTCAACCCCTAGACCCTAAACCCTAAACCCTGAGACCCTAAGACCCTAAACCCTAAACCCTAAACCCTAAGACCCTAAGACCCTAAACCCTAAACCCTAAGACCCTAAGACCCTAAGACCCTAAGAACCTGAGACCCTAAGACCCTAAACCCTCAACCCTAAGACCCTAAGACCCTAAGACCCTCCCTAAACCCTAAGAGCCTAAGACCCTAAACCCTAAACCCTCAACCCTAGGACCCTAAGACCCTAAGACCCTAAGGGCCTAAGACCCTAAGACCCGAAACCTCGCGGGGCTCCGGCGGACGGCCGTGGTGAGGTCCAACTCCAACTCGAAGGAGCCCAGGCCGGAGACCTCGAGTTGGGTGGTTCTCAAAATTAGGGTCCCTTTTAGGGTCCTTCTTATAAGGGTGCCGTACTATATTGGGGACCTAAAATGGGGGCCCTAATTCAGAGAACTACCCAGTTGGGGAGTTGAGGAGGTAGGGTTCAGGGCTTCAGGGCTTCAGGGCTTTAGGGCTTTAGGGCTTTAGGGTTTTAGTTTGGGGTTTAGGGTTTAGGGTTTAGGGCCGGAGACCTCGTCGGGAGAGTTGAGGAGATTTTGTTGAGGGCGTAAAGACTTAGAGTTCAGCTTTTTGGGTGTTACAGGGTTTAGGATTTAGGGTTTAGGGTTTAGGATTTAGGGTCCAGGGTCTCTGGCTTCGGGTCTTGGATTGGGAAGTTGAGGAGTTAGGCTTGTTTGCTTAGGGGCCCCTTTCTGTGCTCTGCAAGGAGTTAGGGTTTGGCGCATAGGGTTTAGGATCCAGGATTTCAGGTGTTGGGGTTTTGAAGCTAGAAATTTAGGTTGGGAAGTGGGGTGTAGGACTTTTGGTGTAGAGGTTTTGGGGTTTATGGGGCGGGTTTCAGCTTTACTCGCAATTGGGGTTGGGTTCTGGGCTTTCGAGAGCATTTAGAATATCTAGGGCCTTGTTGTCAGGACTGTCTTCTGTTCCAGAGCTTATCCTTTGGCCGTTGTGCAGTTCTTTAGTGCCCTTTGCGTGGCTTCAAGCTCTTTGGGCCCTAGACCTTTGAACCCTCAACCCTAAACAACCCCAAACCCTAGACCCCTAGACCCCTAAACCCCAAACCCTAAACCCCTAGACCCCTAAACCCCAAACCCTAAACCCCTAGACCCCTAAACCCCAAACCCTAAACCCTAGGATACTTCGGATGCAGGTTGTTCCTGGCCTCGTTGTCAGGCTCTGGATTTCGGGTAGTTCTCAAAAGAAGGAAAATCTTTTAAGGACCCCCAAAGTCTACGGCACTACTATAAAACAGGACCCTAAATGCCAGGGACCGTAATTTAGAGAACTGCCCATGTAAAACCCTTATGACTTATAACAGCCTCATAGCAACCCTTATAGATTTTTTTAAGGGAGCCCCATTTTCGTTTTGGGGCTGGGGATGTAGGAATTAGGGAAAGGCCTCTGTGTGTCTGATACGGCCAAGGCCGAGGCTTTCCAAGGAGAGCCGCTTTCGTTTGTACGGGTGTCCACTCTTCAGGGTTTAGGGTTTAAGGGCTTCTGCACAAAACCAAACCCCAAACCCTAAACCCTATGTAAAACCCTAAACCCTAAACCCTAAAACCCTAAACCCTCAACCCTAAACCCTAAACCCTAAACCCTAAAACCCTAACTTGAGGAATCATTCGGAGGATCCCAGGGTCCTCGAAGAGTGTCTTCCTTATGAAAGGCTTGGATTTACAACAAGGACTTAGGGCCTGAACAATGGGAAGAGGGTTTAGGGTTTAGGGTTTAGGGTTTAGGGTTTAGGGTTTAGGGTTTAGGGTTTAGGGTTTAGGGTTCGGGTTTGGGGTTTAATATATATATATATATATATATATAGTGGCCTTAGTAATTAGAATAGGGTTTGGGGTCCATTATACTATAAATACAATAAGGAACCCCCAAAATAGTACAGGCAATTGTTGAGGCCCCTTTAGTAGGGTGTAGGGTTTTGGGGGCCTGAACAATGGGAAGAGGGTTTGGGGGTATGTTCCGGTATGGCTATGCAGGGACGAGGAGACGATAGTCTTACTAAGGGGTTCAAAGGATGTACCACGGGTTTAGGGTTTGGCATAAGACTCGGCAAAACGTGTTTGGAGCGGTATTCAGGGGCAATGCGGGCAGCTCTGTTGAGAAGGACAATAGATAGGCGAAAAGTACGCGTCATACGGACCCTTCCTAAAATCCCCGCATGCTACAGTATACACCAAAACCCTACTGAAATTGTCAAGGCCCCTACGTTAAAGCAGGGATAAGGAAAAACTTCTACAGATCTTCTGCTGCTACATTTTTGGGCTGAGATTGAACAGTTGCTGCATCTAGGCCCCAAAAAACCTCGGACCGCGAAAACCGCCAAGCCCTAACCCGATCCCAAAACCTTGAATCCCCCAAGGCTAAATGCCCTAACAACCCGAAAGAAGAAAGCTAGCCCCAAGACCCAACCTCGAGATCATCCTAACCTCTGCCCTGCACCTCAAACGAAAAGAGAAAGCCACTAAAGCCATCGGAAGGCCCTTAGCGAACTTTTGAATATCTCATCGAACAATTGTGGTACAAAAGCGAAACCCTAAACCTGGAAACCCGCCCTAAACCCTTGAACCGCTAACCCCTTATAGTAAATCCCCAAAAAAGTTGGAAACGGATTCCCTACATATTACTCTTAAGGATTGAGGCCAGTGGGTTTCCAACTTCTAATTCTGGGCCCTAAACCCCTAAACCCTAAACCCCTAAACCCTAAACCCTAAACCCCTAAACCGCTAAACCCTACTACGCGACAGCTGGCCTTGAACTGCACCAAAGAGGTCTGCTCTTGCACAGCCTCGCAAGGATTTGAGGTTTTAGGGTTTAGGGTTTAGGGTTTAGGCGTTTAGGTTTTAGGGTTTAGGGGTTAGGGTGTAGGGTTCAGGGGTTTAGGGTTTAGGGTTGAGGGTTTAGGGTTTAGGGTCTAGGGTTTATGGAGACCTCGGGGCTGAGTTAGGGGCTAAGGGCTTGTGGGTTTGGGGGTTTAGGGCTTTGGGCTTTAGGGCCTAAGGTGCCTTTCTTGTCTGAGGATGTGAAATGGGGTCTTATGGCTTGAGATTTGGAAGGGTTTGAGGGTACAGGTCTGTGCGGAAAATATATGGAGTCAGCGTAGTGTTCTCTTTGGTAGTTCATTTTTTACATGGCGTTCTTGGCTGAGGGCTTTATGGGTGTAGGGTTTAGTATGCTTTGCCACTTTTGGTCAAGTATGGATGTTCAATGTACTTGTCACTAGCAGGTCATAATCTTCATACAGGTTGATAGTGGAACCCTAAACCCTAAACCCTAAACCCTAAAGCTTGCAAGCACAGCGACTCAACCCCCGGTTTTTTCTTTGACACCTCTTTTCCGTCGCCTGAAAGGTTTTGGAATGCTCAACCCCGGTTTAGGGTTTAGGGTTTAGGGTTTAGGGTTTAGGATTTAGGGTTTAGAGTTTCGGGCTTATTGGGTTTAGAGTTTAAGGTTTTGGGTTTAGAGTTTCGGGTGTAGGGGCTGACCCCAAGCCTCAGATTCCGAACCCCTGAGCTCCGAAATCCAAAGTCCCGCAGCATCCGAGGCACTGAACACCAAAGCTCAGCCTCACAACTTAGGGGTTAGGGGTTCAGGGTTTAGGGTTTAGGGTTCAGGGTTTAGGGTTTAGGGTTTGGGGTTTAGGGTTTAGGGTTTAGAGACCCCGAAAACCCTAGGCCCTAAACCCTCAACCCTAAATCTAAGACTCCAAAGCCCTAAAGGCTAGAAACTTTACTCCCGTCAACCTGGAACCCTAGACCTCTAGAGGATTTTCCGAACCCTGAACCCTCAACCCTGAACCCTAAACCCACCCTAAACCCTAGACCCTGAACCCCCAAACCCTCAACCCTGAACCCCCAAACCCTTAACCCTGAACCCTAAACCCCGAACCCTAAACCCTAAACCCAAACCCCTCAACCCTGAACCCTAAACCCTAGACCCTCAACCCTAAACCCATGGAGCAGAACCCTGCGTTGCGGCCTCGGGTTCCTTCAGAGTCAGCTCCTTCATGGACTCCACGAGCACGGCGGCCATGATACCTGCACCCAGGCTTCTGGGGGCTTAAGGCTAAAACCCAAGACCTACCTATAAGCTCCATTGTAGTTCTTTCTTTTGTGGCTTAGCTTGCAGGATCCGACCTGCATAAATAGCTTAACCAAAACAAGGAACTACCATGGAGACTACCCTAAACCCTAAAACCTAAACCCTAGACCCTACACCATAAACCCTAAACCCTAAACCCCGACGCGGAGGCCTGAAGGACGAATGCGGAGAGCGCGGGGATGCTGTCGGGTAGCTTTCAGCCGTTCTTTTGAGGCCAAACGTTGCGAGAGGGCGTCAGCGTGCGCCAGGGGCTTGCGGTCCAAGGTTCAGGTAAACCCTAAACCCTAAACCCTAAACCGTTTAGGTGCGGGGTTCGGGGCTTAGGGTCTAGGGAGCTTAGTCCCGAAACTTCTGGCGTCGTTTAGGTCTTACTGTTGTGGAGAGCTTTGTGCTTTGGGCTTCGGATTGTGGAGCCATTTTTCCGGATCGAGCATGTCTTCGACGTGCAGCCTAAACGATTGAACTATGGCTTTCATGACGGTTTAGGGCTTTCGCCTGTAGGAACGTGGTGGGTTGAATGATCGGCTGCTAGCTAGGGAACTTGAAGAAGTTGCCTATTGCGCGAATAAGCTTCCCGACGTCGTTGGTCTCTATATTTTTAAAAAGGGGGTTGAACTCTAGGATATGATGCTACGAGCTGTTCATGCCCTCATGGAAACCCTACAACAGCCTTCAAGAAGTCGAGGGAAAACTGCACAAAAACCCTAAACCCTAACCGAAAAAACCGCTAATTAGTTAGTGTCTGGTGTACTAAGGCCAACTTAACAGTTTAGGGTTTAGGGTTTAGGGTTTGCCTGGGGTCCTCAAAGAACCAGGGAGCACCCTTGGCGTTTAGATACCTTAGACTTGCTTTTCTGTGTTGGTGGTTGAGACATTTTTTAAGGTTCGGGATTTAAGGTTTAAGGCTCACCCAAGAATAATGCGGCAACCTTCGAAAAAGAACCCTAAATTACAGAACTACCCGCTTGCAAGCTTGCAAATACGAGATTTTCCCCGTGCTGCAGGCATCTGGGCCCTGCGTCCGCCTTCCGCCCTCGCCTCAGGCGGATGATCTGAGATTGAGGGTTTGAGGTTTAGGATTGAGGGTTTAGGGTTTAGGGATTAGGGTTTGGGGTTTAGGGTTTAGGATTTGAGGTTTAGGGTTTAGGGTTTAGGGTTTGGGGTTTAGGATTGAAGATTTAGGGCTGAGGGTTGAGAGTTCAGGGTTTAGGCTTAGGGGCTTAGGGTTGAGGGTTTGGGGCTTATAAGGTTTAGGGCTCGGGGTTATTTTTTTTGAACGCTTTCGTAGCGGAAGGCTGCCATCTGGCCCCTCAGTCCACATTCATTCTGATCCATGTTAGGGTTCGGCGTTTTAGGGTTTCGTCCAAGGTAAAACCACTACGGTTTCACAGCTCAAGGGCTTTAGGGATTATGCCAGAAATAACTAACGTCTGAAGTTTAAAGATCTTCATGTCAGCCCATGAACGAAGCATGTCCATATGTGGCATGACCGACAAGACTTGCCGTTGGAAAGCATGCTCATCGTGGCCCTAAATCCTAAACCGTCCTAAACCGTTTCACATGTCCGCTCACCATTTCATGGCTTTCTGTCATTCCGAGCCTGTCACCCAAGGCCATTTGAAGTGAAAAGTTGTATAGGAAACATCACACTCGAAAACCGCTCAACCAACCATAAGCCCTAAACCTAGCCATTGGCCCGTACGCACTCACTTGCAAGCCCTCGGCCCTAAACCCCAAACATCCCCAAATCCTACACCCCAAACATCCCAAACCCTAAACCCCAAAGATCCCGAAAAACTATAAACGCTAAACTCTCAACCCTAAACCCTAATTTCTGAACCCTAAACCCTGAACCCTTAGCACTGAACCAAACTCCCCGAGCCCCAGGAGCCAGAATCGCGAAGGCGGACTGGACGGGTGCTCACCAACCTTAGCCCACGAGTGCTCTTAATTACCAGAACAGGCTCCTTTCTAGGGCTATTAAAAGGGTTGCTAAAGTGTGGGGTTAAAATGAAGGGCCTTTATATTTGGTATTTAGACTAGGGTTTTGCGGTATGTTGTTGAGCAGAATAGCGACACTAAAGACATTGCATGACGGTTTCGGGTTGAGGGGGTGGGTCTTCAATCCCTGAATCTTCCCGACTTGCTAGACTTGGAGCCTAGAGACCCCTAAACCCAAATTAATCTTTATCCCAAAACCCCCCTCAAGGTTTTGCTTTGTTCAACAGCCTTGCGCATCTTGCCGGACAGCAATTGCTTGACGCGCTTCGGCACTTTGGAGGGTTGTCGGATGGCTGTTCAAAAAAATCCATGTCGTGATGTTGGGCTGCTGGCTACATACTGGCAGTTGGATAAAGTACTGAATAGATCCGAATTAACATTATATAGCCATTGCTGACGTTGGCGTCCGATTCTTCTACGACCAGTTTCGTCAGGTTGAGCACGGCCTGGTTGGTGACACAGTTGCCTCCCAGGATCTTTATCAAAGTCTTTTTCAAATGTGACCTGCCAATTTGATTCGTCTGGTGCTCAGCATTTGGTCAAGAGGGACAACCGGATTCCTGCAGATTGTGCCTCGGCCTCAAATAGGCGAGCATTAGCATTAGCGCGGTTTACAAACGTAATGTCTACATGTCATATCTGTCGCAAGCCTCGATGATGGAAAGCATTGAGCTTGGAGGTCAGCGACTTCGTTAGGCAAGTTCTTTCAAGCCCATACAACAGCTTACTACATATGACTGCATCATATACGAAGGATTGCCATTTACGATTAGCACAGCTATCTCTCCAGAACACGTGCAGCTTCAGCCAAGCTGATTTGTCATCTTTAATACGTTGCACAACTTCATGTCTGATGTGTACAGTTTGGTTTAGGTTATTGTTGCTTAGGTAGGAACAAGACGCCGTCTGCAAAATGAATACCGGCAGGAGCTTGCATATGCAGGACGCAGCATTTGGATCTATTCAATTGTAAAAATATTGTTTAAAGTATCATTCAGCAGCGCGGCCTGCAGTCGGACTCTGAAGACGGTGCCGAAGCCGCCCTCGCCCTCCGGTTGGAGGATCTCATACTTCTGGCCTCCATCGCATAACTGTCGACCCTGCTTGTCAAGCTCACCCGACCCTACGTTTCAAGGTGAAGCTTCAACACTATCCCCTGCCCCACTTCGCACAGATTCACATCTGCCATCTCAGTGAAAGGGCCCAACATCCTCTGAGCTCCACACTGAGCCTCAGCCCGTGAGGCTCCAGCTCCTCCCAACTTTCCCATGGCAGTCACGATGACGAAAGAAAAATGAAAACCATATTGATGCGGGTCAGTGACCCTGCCCAGAAGCATGGGCTTGTGCATGGCACCCGGCGCAAGCTGCACAAGGCACAACTGACATGAGGAAAAGTGATTCGTGCGCCCAGCTGGCACGACACAGCGTGCTGCTGCAGCCAGAAAGCACATGGATCTGCTGAAGTTCCTGGCTCTTGGGCCAGACTATGTTCCTTCTTGGCAGGCATCGAAAACGTTGACTCGAAAAGACAGCGCGCGCAGTGGCAAAATTGATGAATCCACGCAAGAGCTAGTTAAGGGCCCTGGCGCTCATTGGAAAAGGACACCCCCGTCGGTCAGGCCAGGTCCTGGAACAACCAAGTCCCTAAACCCGGGTGGGATTGGCTTGGGGCCGGGAATTGTCGGGAGGCCTGGGCCAAGGACTCGGGCGGGTGGGTGGGGCTAGGGGTGTGGGAGCTGGGACTGGGGGGCTGTGGGTGGAGAGGCTGGGGAATGGGCAGAAGTCTTTGAATTTTTGTATCCGGACGATTTATCCAGTAAAGTCTGAATATTTAAATTCTTTGAACTGTTAACCCGGCTGTCAATCTGGAAAACTGCGATGTAATGGCTGGAGCTTGCGCGGTACTGGGTGGGCCGGGGTTGGGGGGGTGGGGCTGTACGGGGTGAGCTGGGGCTGGGCTGGCCAGGAAGGCCTGAATGGGAGGCTGGCTTACCGTATTTAAAGTTTGTTCATGCTGTAAATTTCTAATTCCCGACAACTTAAAAAATTACAAAGTTTATAGTATTCAAGTTATTAAAGTCTGTATATTGTTAATTCCGGACGATTTAAAAATTTAAACAGTCTGAAGACGTTTTAAACATTAATTCAGCAGGCTGGAGCTGGAGCCTGGCGGCTGGGCTGGGGATCCAGCCGGAAACATTTTTTGGGCGGCCCTACGCAAAGCTCGCACTCGATCCTATTTTACTGTGAATTGTTTTACTGTGAATAGGGGCCAAAGGAGCTTCTTGCACGTTGGCAGCCCCACTTAGTTGTTCCAGACTGGACGGCTCAGTGCCAGCCTGTGAAGTTGCAAAACGGCATAGGGAAAAGTGGGGTGTTCGGTAGGGAGGCCTGTGGGGTCTGTGTGAGCCAGTGCCATGCCAGTTCGGCGCAGTGCTCCACCCAGTGTACTCTGCGGCGGCCTGGTCGCATCCCTGACTTTACAGAACCGCCCGTGCAAATAAACGCCGTCGTAAAAACACTGCTCCTTTCCAGGTTGCTCGGGGTTGCTCTCAAAACATGACCAAACAACTTAAGCTGCGCCCTGTGGATGTGGTGTGTGAGGGGAGGTTGCGGATTGTTTGTGCGTTGGGTTGTCAGTGAGGACTCTGGTGTAGAAGGTGGCTTTGATCCGCTGAATCTTGCGAAGTGACTGTGAGTGCACAGCCTGTAGCCTCTGGAAGTCTGTTGTGGTGAGCGCCGCTGACTCCATGCCATATGCAAGCATTGGGACAAATACCGCACTGGAGATCCGGAGCTTCCAGGCGATACTAGGACCTGTGTGTCTCCAGAATTGACGCAGCATCGTGAAGTGCTTGCTGGCTTTGGCTTGTCTGGTCGTTCTTCTGTTCTGACTCACCGGTGTCCGTGCCCATGGTTGGCGCTTGT